GTTGTATCCTTTGGACTTCAATAATGAAGAGCTTTCACTAATGTATCATTTGTTCATTTTAGTATTTGTACACCAAGTGGTGTAGTAGTGTCCATATGGTTATAACATGTTGATTATCTTATGGGAAATTTCCTTGATCATTTCTATTATTTTCACTATATTCAAAATTTTTTGTGTTCACCTTTCGCGATGGAGGGAATAGGGTTCGTGAAAACAGGAATTATTGAGTGCATGTTTGGTATCAAATTGACGTATAAAGGGGTGCTAAAACAATAAATCACAGAGAGAAATGAACAAACTAAAATATCAAATTAATTATAAATGAAAAGCTTAACCATTAATACATCTTGAATAAGAGCAAATATTGCAGCAATCAGACTTGCAACAAGTGGATTAAAATTCCCTTCCAATAAATAGAAAAAAATTATAAATCAGCAAAAACATCATAAGTTTTTGAATCTACAGCAATGAGCCTCAATGCAGCAACTGCTGCCGCTATAGACATGCAACCAAAGAAACAGACATTAAGCCAATGCCAACTCTTCTGTATGGAAGTCAATTTGTTTCTCTTAGCAACAAGGTACATGTGGTTCGCAAGTATGAATGTAAGTGGGAATGTGCTGATAGCACCAGTAAGGCTCATGAAATCTCCCAGAAAAGGCAGCAAAGCAGCGACAAATGTTGTGATGGCAAGGTAACCGCCCCTCACGACAATTCGGAATGACAAGTTGCGGAGAGCCAAAGCATTTCCTTTGATTCCATACTTGGTGTCCAAATACTCGTACATCGGGCTAGCAAATATCTACAACAGGACAATAAAGGGATGTTTGGTAAATGGACAATATTAAAGAAAGAAAAATCTTCCAAACAAGTGCTAATAGCATAGAACAAGATGACCAAAGGAACATTAGCAAACAGCATATCAGTCAAATCTTGTGCGTCTTTGGAAAACAACAAATGAAAAAGAATGATTAAGAGAAGGACGAGGATAATTAGTTACATGCAAAGCAATAATTGTCTGCAGGAAAGCTGAAACATTAGCGAAAGCTTTCACCCAGACAGGACCGTTGACGCTGTTCAGCAAATAGGTTGATGTGTTGACTCCATAAGCCCAATATCCCATGAAGGTAATAGCATACAGTGGCAGAACTCCCAATGTGAACTGAAAGTAAAGAGCTTTCAACATGTTCTTAACTACAGGTTCCCTCACTGTGGCCTGTTGCAAGAAGAATAATTTTGTTTGTGAGTATGCCACGTTCAAGCAACGTCTACCCCAAAAACAATAACCTAAGATGCCCAGGACGAGGAGTCTTTTTCTCTGGCACCCTCCTTTTCAAATAAGAGGAGCCAACCTCCTCCACAAAAATATTGATACTGTTACTTAGCTGTCTCCAAAGGAGACAAAAGGTAACAGCCGTGTTTTATCTTTAACAGTACATAGATGATTCTTCAGATTGTTTGTGCATATCCCATGGCAGTGCAGCAGAGTAGGTACAAAATTATTTTGTTTCCAAATTTAAATAGGCTGTGGAGGCATGATAATTACTCACCTGTATCTCCGGGAGCATTCCAGTATTGAATGCAAAAACAAGGTTTGCAGATGCACCTATGGTTGTAAAAATCTTGCCAATTGTTGATCCTGGAATGTCATAGTCTCTGGGAGGAGCTTCAATCCCTATATATATTATAAGAACATTAAGCATATGAAACTTCTCTGAATAGGAATATAGACAGAGAAATAAAGCAGCAACACTAAAGCATTTCTATCAAGCGTTGTCCAGTTAATGCATAAAATATAGGTGAGCGCCATTATTCTCGCATTGGTAAGGCGAACTGGACAACACTTGATAGTTTTAAGGAAGAAAATAAGCTAGAAATTAAAATCATGTCCACTATACCAGTTTTGTCTAGTAGTGCTGATAAAACATACCCATAAGGACTCAAACAGAGGAACGACGAGAGAAGCACAAGTAGATGAGGAACAGCATATACAGAGAGCAAGAACATTTTAAGAAAGTGGCATAAGGGCATGATGCATAAGGGCATCTTCAAATCAATTAGCTTATCAAACTTCTCAGAAATGGAAATAAACCTCTAGGATCTGAGACTTGTGTGGTCTATTAATGTATACTTCACATATGAAAATATATGACATGTCAAACACCAAGGATTTATTATTGTTTCTATCGAAATTATTTAACACTGATCTTCAGGAGGATAAATGCATTGTACTGATTTATCTGAATTTCTAGTTTCGAACATATTCCATTATCCAGACACTCAAAAGTGCCTGGAATTTTATTTGCCTAGTCTAATGGAGAAACTGCTCAGGCTGGAATATAAAATCTGCAACATGATACTAAAAAAACCTAAATTCTGAATTGCAGCATACACCAACTAGTTGACACTCAATCCTGTATATAGCCACCACTTATTTCTTATGCAATATCTCAGAAGTATTTTGGAAAACAAAGCTAAAAAAAAAAAAAAGATATTGGAACATAAATGTCGCTAATTTGTAAATTAAAAGAAAGACATAATACACCAAAATAAATTGCAGCGTTGTAAATTACTAACAAAGTGTTTGTTTGAGAAAGGAGAACTGGATATTCGATTATTTCCAATAATAGATGCAGGAAGGTTGTTTGCATATTCAGCAAAAAGGTACCAAAGAAGGAATCTTATTTGTCCATAAAACATGGCACTCTTTATTTGTAAGATATTCAACATTTTCCTTGTCAAAATAGAGTCTAAGCAATGATACGAAATGTACCAGAAAGATGAAGGACTAGGAATCAACAGAGTGAAAAAGCATTAACATCAACATTTGACACCTCTTGAGATATTAAAACTTGATAACAGAAAGAAACCATACCATCTTTAAGAGCTAGAGCAAATCCTACAACAATATACACTAGACTGAAGAATGTTGAAAATCCAAGCCAAATCCCCAGTGCTGACAAATGGGGTATTGCTATGGCAAAAAGGCCACATGCAACTCCAGCTATTGCAATAAAGTATGGGAGCTTCATTTGATTATCATCTCTGAAGAGAACATAAATGGCCTGCATATCATGTCAAAACAGATTCAGGATATTGGCTAAATCTTTTGGATTCTTGTCATCTTATCCCACTATGTTCGAACATAGTTAGAACACTTCAAAACTTAGATGGCGTGTTAAGCAAGGTGAATTAGATGAAGGACAAAAGTATTAATTAAGAAAAAGAAGTTTAAATTCTGCATATTGTGTCATGCGATCTAATGCAATGTACTAAACATGCACACATGTTTTCCAGAGGTTAGCAGCAGCAAAAGAATGTCAGATATCAAATTTTCCTAGAAAGCTTGAGAGTGCTTCAATTGTCTACCTAGGCACTACATGTTAGAAACAATGGACAAATTCCACGCAGTTTCACATTGACTTATAAATCAAGGTGAGAACAACGAAGGTAATTTTACCTTAAGAGCCTGACCAGCTAAAATGATGTATCCAACATTTATCATGAAGAGATTCGCATATTGCAGTCCCCATGTAAGAGAATAAGCTTTGCGACCTACAAATGCAAAACCTCACTGTTGTTAGATGCAAGAAACGGGGATGCAATATATATTATACTGAGGAGCTTCAATATTTTTTTTGTTACGATGCTTTATTTATTTTGCTCATACCATATATAAATCCTGCAAGATCTCTGTATCTGATATGCCTCTTTCCTCCAAATTCATGAAGCTTGGCCACGAGAGTATTTGCGTATAAAGATATGGCTGTTGCTAAAATTAAACCAACAACGCCTCCTATCCAACCCAATGGTACCATGACAGTACCAGAGTATCCCAGCACATAAGCACTGTTGATTCCGGTGGTCAGAATAAATCCCACTTGAAACCATGAATCTACATTAAGCAAAATAGGTACAATAAGTGCAATTACTATAATTCCAATTTCCACACCATTCGAGCTACCAAAAACTGATTCTGAACCCTAAAGAGGAGAAAAAAAAAATACTGAAATCTTGTCCATTCTAATGATTACAAAACTGTAAGGCATATATAATAGGGAAACCCGACTTGTATAAAGCATAAGACTAAACCAGTGGAAGGAGGCATTCAAAGGAAAAATTTCAAACTAAGATAAACTTTCGCCTGCCGGAAACATTAATAGATCCCTTGAACATCCATGCTAAAAACTTTGTCAATTATTTAACGTGAAATCGATTTTTTGACTCTTGGTGTCCTGAACATTAATCCAATTCTCAATATTAAAAGAGAATAATAAACAAACATGAAAACGCATTTTCATTTAAAAAAAAAAACAATAAACGAAATCGAACCAAGATAACCAAAGCCGACACATGCAATATCACACCCATAAAGAAGAAGAAAAAAAGAAGAAAAATCAGAATTCATAAATGGGATTGGGAGGAAAAGAAGAATAAAGTCAAACCGGTGCTGATTTGATGGGCTGTGTCAGGAACTTCAACAGCCAAATGATCATCGGAGTGGACCCTCCTAGGTGTCCCGGAGCCTCCAACGACGTCGTTTGTTCCTCGGCCGTCCATATTCACCTCCACAGCCACTTCTTCTCCACTTCCCAAGAGCAACACCCGCTCTTCCTGAAATATCACGTTCCGCAAAGCCAGCCCTGCTTCTTTCTCTCAGCTGTATTTATTAACCACCAATCCACCCCACAAATAAGAAAGAAAAAATTAAAAAAACATCATTAATTTCGTTATACGTTGGGATTGATTGGGTGTCAGTACTTGCGTATCAAATGGCAACTGCTATTTTACATCTTAGGAGGCAATGGGCCGTATAGGGTTGACAATTTGACCATTTTTGATCGTTGACTGTTGAAAATTTTGATCCGACGGTTTTGTACTGTGACACGAGGGATTTTGAATTGTGTGTTTTGAGGGAGCACGTGTAGAGAACGACAATTCCGTGTCCATGATAGATCCCACGTCTCGCCGACACGTTTATTAAAAATTCGTCGGATGCTTTCTCATACCATTAATAGGATGACGTTTCTACCTGGCTGTCGATTCTTGAGTTGTGTGTGAACCTCAATTTGCAACTTTTCCAAAGAATCATGTCGTTAAGCCATTTCTAGATATTTATTTTCTTTGTTACATCTACACCGTGTTTGGTCCCCACTTTTTCAAAAAATCATTTTCAACCACACATTCTCCTATAAAATAATATTACTCGTAAATCGAAATATTTTCCTTACTTTTTAACCACACAAAAATCTTGAGAATAAGAATTGGCCCCTATTTGACAACCATTTAAATAACACTTTTTTTTTCTCAATTTGATTACATTCACACATTCTCAAAATAAAATATTTTACGCGTAAATTAAAAAAAATTTACTATTTCAATATTTATTTTTCT